AATCTCTTTAATCTCAGAATTCTGACTTTTTTTATTATCAGAATTCTGTCAGAATTCTGAGTTTAAAGTCAGAATTCTGAGAAAAAAAGTCAGAATTCTTACTTTAATCTCTTTAATCTCAGAATTCTGACTTTTTTTATTATCAGAATTCTGTCAGAATTCTAAGTTTAAAGTCAGAATTCTGAGAAAAAAAGTCAGAATTCTTACTTTTTTCCCATGTTAAACTGAAATAAAATTTAAAAATCAGTTAACTTTTTTTTCCAGTGGCCCTAATCCTCTTCCGTACAGATGGAATTCATCAGCTTGAAAAAATATTTAGTCCAAGCAGTTCTTTATAAAAATTCAGGTTCAAACCCTTAAAGGCGACAACCTTCCTGACCGCTGCTACATGTTCATTATGTTAGAATTCATGTTTGATTCTGATACTTAGACTTAACCCAAATTAATAAGCGATGCTGCTAATGACGTCATTTTAAGGAGTTTATTTTTGGGAGATAATCCTATTCGTCTTTCTTAACAGGATAGAACATTTATATATATTTTTCAAGCCAGCTATGCAGCAACAGGTTGGGGCAGGGCTCTGATCTAATTATTCTAAACTGAATAAATGTTTGTTTTTTTAAAGTCCAGCTACCTTTTTCTTCTGATATTTCATTAAACCACTTTAACTGGTATGAATATTTATAGCATTTTTTATCTTTGTCATTCAATGCAACTTTTGAACAATAAAGGCACAATTTCTTATCACTTCCATTCAAACATTAAAACTTTCCTATACTTTAACACAAACAACCAACCTGCCAAAACCTAAATTAGTAAATTAGACAGACAATAATAAAGAATATATATATTTTTTAGAGAATTTAGAACAAATTCATGGTAATTTGGTCCCAAATAAAATGAAAAAATGGCAATCATTTTTAAAAAGAGATTGTTAAAGCAGATCTAAAGGATGCGCAGCTTTTCTTCAGGTGTAAACACGTTGCGCCGCATCAGGACGTTTCTTCGGCTTCATCCAAACGGAAAGGAGCGTGACCGACTCGGCGTGGCTTGCGGGTTTCTACTGTCCGCCCGCACTGTCACGCACACAGAGGCGGGAAGAGTTCACCAGCAGGAAGCCTTGAGGCTCGGGTCGGAGCATTGCAACCTTTTCCAACCTGTCTGGAGTTACATTTTTAGGCTTAAAAAATGGAAAGAGCCGCGGAGACGCACTCTGCTTCATTACCCAAGTGCCCTTCAGCAGGGTCGGCTGCTGCTGACCTCATTCAGTCTCCTGGCAGGGATATGAATTAAACTAAATCATGAAATATTTATTGAACTGTAGACAAATTACGCACGAGTCGGGTTATTTTGCTTAAATTTGTGCGCAACTCCCCCCTCCCCATCATGATCAGATCAGCTCAGAAATTTTTGATATTTTTGTTTAAAAGATGCGCCCAAAAAAGATAACCAACCACCGCGCAGCAATTAGCAGATATCATTTTTTTTGTCTCATTTTTTGGTTCCAGTGTGCGCCAGAGCGCGCGCCTTAGCGGTCAGCGCGCGCCTTAGCGGGCTGGGTGTCGCTGCTTGATGATAATTAATAAGGCGAAGCGCTTCTCTCCACCAACACGTTTCCACTGAACCCCTTTGGCATCAACTGACCCGTTGTTAATCCAGCACAATGCAACAAATGTAGCGGCACCCACTTATAGCGGCTCCTGGGGTCGCTTAACAAACAGAATAATCAACGCGTAGAAACAAAGGAGGGGGGGGGGCATGAATGCGTCGGGATTTGGAAAATGTGTGAGAAATAAGCGCTGCGATGCTGCAGCTGGTGCGGCTGATTATTGGGTTTCTTTTTTAAGGGGTTTGGAGGAACATCGGAGCTCCGCTGTCCCAGAATGACGCGCCTTCCAAACTGGCAGAACGTCATGTTTTAGATGTGTTGCAACAAGAGCAGCCGGATCAGAGCGAGTTGGCAGCTGCTCCAGAAATGTCTTATTTTAGCACGAAAGACATGAAAAGGTCAGATCTGTCTTAAAGCGGAGCTGGAAACCTGATTTTAATTGTTTTGTTTATAATCAGATGTCCGATGGTTCAGTTTTACGCACAGATCGGTGATCCTTTGAGCATTTTTAATTAAAAAGACAATAAAAGAATAACCGGCTTACCTTCTCTTCTCATGCCGACTTTGAGACACTTCTTCAGCCGGCAGAACTGGCACTGGTTCCGGTGGTGCTGGTCGATGGGACAGTCTCGGTTCCCCCTGCAGGTGTAAGTCAGGTTCCGCCTCACCGAGCGCTTGAAGAAGCTTTTGCATCCCTCGCAGGTGAACTGGCCGTAGTGCTTCCCGCTGGACTTGTCCCCGCACACCATGCAGTCCACGTTGGGGAGCTTGTCCCCGGAAAGCGCGTCGTTCCCCGGGGTGGAACCGTTAGGAGTCCCCGGTCCCCCGCCGGGCTCCTGGCCGCACATCTGCAGCTGAGAGCCCGGGTCTGCAGAAATGTTCTCTGGCCACTGGTTTACTACCATTGCCATGCTCCCCCTTTCCTCCGAAGCGCTGCGTTTTACTCAGAGAAGAAGTCGGAGCGCGCGCTGGAGATCCGTCTTGTCTTCTGGGAGGAAAACAGAGAAGCTTTCCACTGAGGGTCAGCGGTCAGAGCTGAACCAAGTCGCTTTAACAATGACTTAATATTTTTGGATTATAGAAGTGAGAAATAGCGGAAGATCGACATGATCGACGCAGAACTGCAGAGTCTACAACTCCAGGCGCTCCTCTGTGCGCAGCGATCCATAAACGCGTCGTTGTTCAGGGCGGAAGCTCTCCAGAAAGTCAGTCCAACAAGTGAGCAGGTTGGCTGTCAGAGTGGGAATACTGGGAGGAATCCTGCGGAGCTTCTTATCCTGAACTGGTTTGGGGGGTGGAGGGGTGGGGGGGCGCAGGAGGAAACCCTGTTTGGTCTTTAAACCACTAAACTGAACTAATTCTCACCACGTGTTTATGATTTTAAGGGAAGGATTATTTTAGTCCCAAAGACTCAATGTGGAAGTCCAGAGAAGGGATTCCTGCTTCCTCTTCGCAGAAAATTGGTAAACTGGTTTCAGTTTAACGCAAAACTATTTACACACAAACCGATTTGGATTCTGGATGAAGGTCCGCGAGGAAAGGAAAGATCCAAACACCAGCGCGCGCCGTGCCGCCTTCACGCTGGTGTCCAGTCTGCCGGAGTCAAAGCTCCAGTCCGGGTAGAGGAGTCAGGAAAGGGACGCCCCCCCCCGCCGGTGCTCCATATAAGGGAATAAACGCCAAATAAGGCCGCTTCTCCTCCCCTCTGCGCGTGAAGAGGGACGTGATGGACCCGCCGCCATTGGCCAGAAAACTCTAGTAAAAGGCCGATGAGCTCTGATTGGGAGATGGGTGAATGGGATGGGAGGAACAACAGAGGGATGTTTCAGATCTGCAGAATGTTGGTCTGGATTTATTTCTAATCAGTTTTCACATCAAACTTCCCACTTAAAAAATATACCTGACACAGGGGCGGATTGAGGAAAGTTGGGGCCCTAGGCTAAGGCAGGCAGGGGGCAAATAAAACACCCATTATAGAGATAGAGACACTTTAATAGAATAGTCTTACATTATTTGTTCTATGTTTTTTCCCTCTCTTTTTGTCCCTTTTGTTGTTTTCCTTACTACACTGCAAAAATGATCTAGAAATAAGTAAAAATGTCTTAAATCAAGTGTATTTAACCTTAATTTTAGTAGGTAAATGGGATGATTTGCTAATGGAAGCAGCATTTTACTCTTAAAATAAGGTAATTTTATAATATGCACTTGATATAAGACAATGCAGTTGCTTTTTTTTATTTTACATATAAATTATCTCAACATTTTCTCATTATCAGTGCGTATGAAATCGTACGAAAAGTTATGCACACTATTTCGTACGTTTTGGACATTTTTCCTGAAAAAACCACATCAGTGCGCTGGCAGACAAAAAAAAAAAAGCAGATCCGCGGACGGACGTAAAAATGGGAAAAATCATCACTTCTTCATGTCTCTAACTACGTTGCTTGCTGTTTTATATCTTAGGGTTAGGGCTAATTGTAATCTATATTCTATATTCGTGAATGGGGCGTCACATGGACACGCATACGACGAAAAAACGTACGAAATTACGGTGTATAACTTTTCGTACGATTTCATACGAACTCATAATGAGAATAGGTTGATTATCTTGTTCCATTGGCAAAGCGTCTCACCTACCTCCTCAATTCAAGAACAAATGCACTTAGGCTACGTTCACACTGCAGGCCTTAATGCTCAATTCCAAATTTTTTGTGAAATCTGATTTTTTTGCGTGTCCGTTACTTCCAAGTATATGCGACTTGTATGTGATCTACTGTGTGAACTGAAAGC